GCCCCTGCCCTCCTGGGCAGCCCACAGCCTCCTCCTGTGGCTCTGGCTTCAGAGGTGGGGTGCTGCCACCTAGTGGACTGCATGGCACACTGCAGGCGATCTCCCGCCATCTTTCCTTGGGGTCCCTAGTGCAGCCCTGAGCAGGGCTCTTGAGGGAAGGGGTGTGGGCGGAAGTCAACCCGCACAGCCCAGGACTGGTCCAGCAGGACACGGGGATGCAGAGGGAGCCCAGAGGATGCACAGTGGAGAGGGTGGCAGGGAGGGCTTTCTGGGGGAGGCGAAGCTGGTGTAATGGCATGGTGAATATGCATTTTACCAGAGCTGCCAAGGCTGTAAACCCACCCCAGGGGCGATGCTGGGGGGACCCAGGGAGCCCTGTGGAATTGGATGAGGCCATGGGAAGAAGACAGGGGTGTCTGTGCAGCCAGGTTTAGGAGAGATTGCAGAGGGAGGGACTCAGTCTCATCACTGATGATCCCGCCAGGCCCTTGCTGACTTGTTTCGTGGGTGTGCATGAGGCTGCTAAGGGGCTTCACTTCTGCCTGCAAGTGCAGCTCAGAGGCGGGGGCTGGGCCCCAGGAGGCCCTGCAGATGGTGAGAGCAGGAGGCTGGTCAGGTCGGCTCCAGGGCCAGCCTGTCCCCGAGCTCACTGTGTGACCCAGGCCACCCCCTACCCTCCCTGGGCTGGGCCTCGGCCTCCCCAAGTGGAGTTAGGAGACTGTCTGCCATCAGTCTGGGTGGCAGCAGGGCCTCTGTCGGGGGCCCTGCGTCAGGGCTCCGCTGCACGTTGACTCTTTCTCGGTCTACCCTACGTGGTCTGTGGAGGACTGCGGGGAGCCCTTGACTCTGCATTCCCCCTGCCTCTGAGAGTGGCAGGCGAGGCACATGTCTGCCCCTGCCGTGTCTCCTCCACCACTTCCAGGTCACCTCTCTGAGGCCTCGAGGCTCTGGCCATGCTGCCCTGCTCCAGCAGGGGGACCCTGGGCACCCCTCCATACGGTCCCCTGGGTGCTGCCCACCTCCAGGACTGGTCCAGGGGAGCAGCATGTGCAAAGGCACTGAGGCCAAGGGAGCCCAGAACAGCAAAGGGGCAGCTGGGGTGGCCAAGGCCAGTCCTGTTCTTGTTTGGGATGCCCTCCCCCCACTCTGATGTCCTCATTCCAAGCTGTCCCCTCAGTCAAGGCCAAGCCCAGGTACCACAGCACCAGGAGGTCTTCCCAGATCCTCCCTGGAAGGGATGGTGCCCTCCTTTGAGCACCCACAATACAGTTCCTTCCTGCGTTAATGTTGTTATAAACACATGTATGTTATGTGTATGAAGTCACATGAGCTCATGTATGCAAAGAACGAGGGTCAGGTCAGTGTCTGCTTTGCCCTCAGGTCCCCATCACCTGTCTTGTGGGAGACGTTTTCCCCAGAATGTATGGCTGGGAAGACTTGTCTCTTGTGAACATGTGGTTCATTTCCTGCTTTCCAGTTAACAAGCACTCTGTGACCCTCTTTCCCTTCTTACTTTGGCTGCCAGGAATCTCAGAGCCAAATTTCACATACTGTAAGGGATATAGTTAACCCTTAGGGGAAGATTATTTCCCCCTTTCTATTTGTGGTGTTTCCTTATTTCCTCAACAGACACCTTGGGGTAATGGGACAACAGGCTTTGTTCAGAGTCCAAGAGGCCTGGCTTCATGTCTGAGTCGGCTGCTTCCTCGGGGCCCTTGGGGGAGCCCCAGTCCATTTCCTCACCTCAGAAGTGGGATAAAGACCTTGCCGGTGTGGATTAAACACTGACCCCAGTCACAATGAATGTGAGATAGGAAACTGCCAGAGACTCATAATAGTCATAATAACCCCTTATATTCCAAATATTTCTACCCCGCCCATCTCCAGAAAAGATCTGAGGAGGCTTTGAACCCAAGAGAATAAGGTTAATGGGGGCAAAATGGGAAATGGGGCAGCAAC